ATAGTTTTTGGTTCAAACGGCAACAGCCAAAGTGCCACAAAAAACTGTATGGCAAGGAAAACAAATATCTTTCATAAATAAAAACAACAAATTAAGTTAAACTAAACATGCATCATTGCATCAACTAAACTTTGTTTTGTTTTTTTATACTTATTTTTTATTGAACATTTCTGAACACATACAGGAGAGAGGCAACAATACATTCAACTTCATATCTGGACAACCGTGACCATATTTATCTGGATACAAGAATGGTATTCTCCTTGCGTCTGTAGTCGCTCCATTTTTCCCATTTAACATCAAACTTGTCCTCCTGCAATCTCAGTCTATGTGTGATTTTCTCCATTACAAAACTCTCTTCCACGATGCTCATCCACTGCTCCACCGCAGGGGGGGTCTTGTCTATACCATAGTTTTGTGATGGTTTTCCTTGATGCTGAAAGTAATAGTTTTAGCAGGTAATCGTCATCCTTTTGAATTACATCGTGTGTCAGGCATCCTAGATAAAGTGTTTTACATGATCTGCGTATTTCATAACCCAATATGTTTTTCAAAATAAGGCTAACATTATGCCAGTATGTGGCTACAGAGTCTCCAGCATGGCTGTGAACTGGATAACATCCTGGTCCTGATCTTTGGTGTTATAAAAAATCTCATGTTTTTCCAATTAAATTCCTTCCTCACACGAGAGCAGGTGGACGTGCACTGCATTTTACAGATTTTAAACCATTCCTCCTCGCTTATATGTTCCTTCAATTCGCCCTCCCATTTTTCATTAATGTACATAGTAGATGTCTTCCTGCCTGCCATCTGTCCCTGGTACAGTGTTGAAATAATTCGTAATTTATTCCCCTCATAGGCCTTATGAAATATCTCTATTATTTTACTTACGTTGGTTTTTATCTCTTTCTCTAACGGAGTTGTATTTGTTACTATTCTTATAAGCAAAGCAGAGAAAAATTATATTTTGATTTATTTTTCTTAAAATTCACCGCTTTTATTTTCAATAACAAACAAATGTAGCTTAAAATATAAAAGAGCCCCGTTACACATGATTATCTGACTAACCTAATGATTCTTTTCTAAGGTTTGATACACAGGATTATTCTTTGGAATGCAGTAATGTTCTACAGTCAGTTACAACCGACCCCTGTTCATTCGGCCTCAGAGCTCCAACGCCACAACATGTCTAAGAGAGGGGGGCCTGTTTATACTATTAGGGAGTTCTTGGGATTCTCATATAATTTATGCTCTTTCTTCAAACTATCTGTCTTTGTTTTGGGTAGAGATGTTGTTTTGACTCTGACACAACCTTCAGCATCTCCATCATTGTAAGTAAGGAGGACAAACTGTCTTGATCAGACCAGGGCTGATATACATGCAATAAAGCTGTATGATATCTAATTTTCTCTTTGCAAAGGTGAAATAAAATGCAGATTGAGTGAAATCCATCAATCGCCCTTTATTTAATAGGAGTGAGTAGTTGAATACTTTCTTCTTACGACAAAGTTAGCAGTTGATCCCCTCTGAATTCAGTCACTTTCCTGCCATGTATGTAATAAGAAATCTGCATCTTCGCTTTTCTCCTAACGACCTTTTGCTGCAGAGCGAACCCCAGCATGGTGTCCTGTGTTTCAGAGGTCAGCAGATTCCAATCTGGTTCCTGCCTTCTGGAAAACAGCCCTCTGCCGCAGAAACCCTGACCTAAAGAAAACAACGATTATAGAGCGGTGGCTCTAACTTCTGTTGTTATGAAATGCTTTGAAGAATACATGGTTTCCATACTGAAATCTGAAGTCCAACCCAAACTAGAGCCGCTCCAGTCTGCTTCTAGGCAGGGAAGGAGTTCAGACGATGCAATTAATAGCATCAGCCCCCTGGCTCTGCATCTGGAGGATCCCAGAGCCTATGCACACCTTTTATATATAAATTCTGTTTTTAACTCATTGCAGCCTCATCTGCTCTTACAGAAAATTACACAGATGAATGTTAATCCTTTCATTATTAAGTTGTTCTATTATTTTTTAATAAATAGAACTCCAAAATGTCAGAATCCAAATCCATAAGTACAGGTGGACCTCAGGGTTGCGTAAACTCACCGGTCCTGTTCACCATTTACACAAACGACTGCACCAATAGTCTCCCTGTTTTTTGAATTTTCTGACGACACTGACATTTACAGCCTGCATCACTAAAACCTGTCATTGTACTTCATGGAGGTTACTAAATTTGTTCACAACTTCTACTTCACAATCAGCAGTAAGGAAACCGAGGAGATGGTGTTTGTTCAGTGGGGGTCATACCCCACTGTCCACAGGGAGGAGATCAAGCAGATCAC